CCAATGAGCAACAAAATGAGACACTGTTTTCTCGTGCAGGAGAATGTTAGACCATAGTTTCTTCTAATGTTTGGAAACATTGGTGCAGCTATGTCTTTTCTAAGAAGCAGGTCTCGCAGCTGGATCAGACAGGCCATAGAGATCAGGAACTGTACCCCATGGATCATGAACTGTGCTGGCAAAAGCAGCAGTCTATAAGCCCCACAACAACAACATCATGTAACGATTCTGAAATGGCCACAGGAGCAGCTTCTGTCTGACTCAAAGATATTCAAAATAATGGAAGATGAATATAAAGCAGAAGTCTATTCAAAATCCATATCAAATCCAAAGTAAACCTGGACTTCAGATCGAGGGTTAAGCTTTAGCTACAGGCATTCACATCAAATCCTGCATAGCCTGCATGTCTGTGGGATCAAACGCTGCAAATAACTAGATTTGAGTTGTGTCAAAATTGCTGCCGATGGGAATATCGAGGGAGGAGAGTCGAATGTGAGAGATTATCTTGGCTTCACTGAGCCTGTGCCAGTGGATCTTTCCGTGTCCAGCTCTGGCTTCCTGTCTCCCCCAACCTTTTATCTGCCTTTTTCATGGTCACTCTCATTACAGTACCACTGATGGCTAAACACAGCCATGCCCAGCCACTGTCAGCAACAAAAACAAGTGAGGAAACTTCTGTGCATCACCCAAGCCAAATAAACCAAATAAATCTTACCCAGCGGTCAACACTCCCACAGAAAAGCACAGAAACAGCAAAAGCGGATGTTACCGCGATGGAAAATAAATGATTTGTTTACATGAAAGTGCAGCACGGGGGCGGGGACTGACACACACACTGCTATAGTAATCGCTGGTGGTGACATCTCGGGTTATTACAATGCCAGCTTAAAAGTTTTAAATGCTGAAGTCTGAATACTGGCTTCACATTGTGTGGTCTGTCATGTTACTTGTTGAATGTGTTCAGATATGTGAATCCAGCAATTAACCTGGTGCAGACTGTGCATGAAAATGAGCACTCTAAAGCCCTCAGCATAACACAAGCATGGTTTAGCTATGGTTACAGAGATGTCAGGGGAAAAGCAGTGAGGATCAAAGGATTTTCAAGAATGGTGTAGTTTTACATTCAGACACTGCATTATTGTGATCTGCCAGCTCCACACTGCCAGCTCAGTCCTTGTTATCTTGGCCTACATCATAAGAGCTTTAATACTCCCCACAACAGAAGCATTGCTAGACTAGACTAGAATAGACCAGACTTGAATAGACCATATTATCACAATATGTTGAGAATTCTGGTGTTCGGGTCCTTTACTGGTGGTAAATAAAACAACAACTGTATTTGTATTATTGTATTAAAAGACATGGTAGTGAAGGGGTGGTCACATGATACCCAGAATACTAATTAAAACTGGTATTGAATGACATTGCAAAACCCTTTCTTGAATATTTTTAAGAATATAAGACTCCATGGAACTATTTGGCATCACTATTGAAAACACTTTTAATAATGGCAAGTGAATGCGGTGGTCAAATCTAGCTTTTATCATGTGAGGCTTTTATCCAAAGTTAAACCTTTTTAACTTTTAAATCATCTGAACAAGTTGTACATGCTTTTGTCTCATCTTGTTTAGACTACTGGAATGCACTTTTTTCTAGCATTAGTCACTATGCATCTTCTTGCTTACAGTTGTTCCAAAATTCTGTTCTGCATCTTTTAAATGGAAGTAAAAAACAAGAGCATATTATCTAGAGTTTAGAGTAATTTATACTATCTGTTGTTTTTAATGCTATCTTTATCTGTGTAACACTTTGGAAACTGTTGTTTATAAAATGTGCTATAAAGTGAATTTGGATTTTATTTATAACATTATTCTCGTGTTGAACTAAATTCTATTCATTATTGTTGTAGTACAAAAGTGTTAATTTAGGTTAAATCTGGATTCAGGAGCCTTGTAAACCTGTTACTAAGTAAACAAACAAACAAATGCTCTTTATTGTTGCTTTGGCCTGATCTGCATTACCAGCGGGAGTCTTTTTGAACGGCAGAACGTGCTGTGTTGTTTGTTTGCTTTAATCCTATTCAACAGTAATATTTACATTCACACAGTGCCGGTGCAAATGTGCTAATAACTTTTATATGCTGCCAGAAACGAACCTGATCTCTACAGAATAATGTTGCCGCCAATTTTCAATTTTTTCTCTGTGCACTGTCAGTTCTTAGGGAATACAGTGAGTCTCCAAACAACAGCGCAATAATACCGGTGAAAGAGAAAAATATACACGTTGACAAAAATGAAAAAGAAGGTTTATCCATGGTCCTATGGGCATCATTATTTGAAGTCAGGACTTTTTTTTTTTTTTTTTTTTTTTTTTTTTATAGACAATTGTTTTCAAATAGAACCCTGACCCTAACCTAAGGGGGATCTCTGTAGCGCTATATGATTAAAAATAAAACAAGCTTGCGGTGTAAACCTTTAAATAAAGAGTGTAAAGTGATCATTTTGTGCCACTCTTGTGTGTCAACTAAAACATTTACAGGTTGTGTAAAGGCACAGTTCCTCAAAAAATATTGTTCTTGGGGGAAAAAGTCAATATCATCTACCTCTGTTCAAAACATGTTTTTTTCCCATTCTATCCAGTAAATTCAAAACTGGTGCTAACTCTGAATATACAATAATATAACTCATATTGTTTGCTTCTTGTATCTGTAAAAGATTTTACATTATGTGGTGAGATATTATGTTGTTATATAAGACACAGTGAATCTCTAAGGCTGATAGATTATAAAGAGGTGGGTGGGTTTTGTTAATGGACATCTTGTGATTTTCCATCAACTAAAAAGGTACAAGAGCATGAGCGAATGTAGCATCCGGGCTTCAAAGTGAGGAAGTGCTACAAAGAGCTCTTAGGACTTCAAACCGAACTCACTTCACAACAGCATTTCTGTCGCCACCAGCTGCAACCAACCACCCAAACCAGAGCTCTGAAGAATTATCACAGCCTTGCTTAATTAACTTGTGCACAGTTTGTCCAACTTATTAGTCTGGGTCTTTATAATCGGATGTTTGTTGAAGTTAGACACTGCAGGAGAATCCAACAGAGCATCGAGGCGAGGCAAATCCCCGTTCTCTCAGTCCATCTGGAGCGGCTCAGAGCCATGTGCACCGACATATGCATCTGTAGAGGGACTGGCTGCTCTAAATTGTGCTGTCAAGAACATCAGAAATGTTACTCCAGAGATATATACCACTGCATACTAAAATGTTAGGATTTGATGAGTTTTGAGTTTCTGTTTCTCCATCTATTTGTATTTTATACAGCCATGGTGTAGTGCATAATTCTGGGGATCATGCAGATCTGTGGACTACATTTTTCCCTTGGTCTGGTAACAAACTAATACCTTTCCAAGCTGATACGTATAGCTGAGGATACATTCATTAGCTGAGCATGAGGATACATTCATTTTACATTCATATTTTATGTGTGTGTTATTCATTGGACTTTTACCGCGCTTAATTCTGCATTGTTCATATATTCTGTACCTGGTGGTGGTGCACTACTAACCACACTTCCAAGCATCACAAATACTCAAGCACGCACTACATTCACACTAGGTCTAAGGACACAACAACAGTTTGCACTAGAGCCACTGCTGTCCCACTGTGGAACCCAGTGGTCTCACAAATACTCACCAGGCCCAACCTTGCTTGGTTTCAGAGATCTGATGAGATCAGACATGGTGGCACTGTTATAATCTGCACATGAAGATTAATAGTGTGTGTTTTTAAACTCTTTTACAACAGCTTGCTCTGTCAGATATGTACAGTAGCATAGCCATGGGCCAGTTCTGCTCTGATAAAGCAAGTTCTAATTAATTTTGGAGCAGAAGTTCAATGAGATAGCATATCTGTGATAACAGCCTGTATCACTCTTTGTATCATGGCATCAGCAGGAACTGAACTAGAGGAAAACAATTATTTTCTAAATGAGGAGGGTTAGGCGCCATGTGAGGGAATTTTAATTAAAGGACTGGCAGAGTTGCGTCGCCGTGTGACAGCTCTATTACTTCAATGATAAAATAGTTCACTGGCAGAACAAATTTGGTTAGAATGGACTGCGTTTGCACTGGCACTTTTGAGAGCAGGCTTAGCTAATGGTTTCCCTGACCTTGGCATTTGGATACAGGCTCACACGGAGAGGTGAGGCGGGAATGAGAGTAATTATTCAAATGGAGCATCCCCCACCTCTGCGGTGTGCTTTATATTCTATATATGCATATACACCAACATCTTTTTAGCACAGTGTTCAACACAGACAAGAAAAAATAAGCATGGTCAATTAGTTTTAACTACAAGTGTTTTCCTCATTTTTGCTACTAGGGCAGTATGAAATAAAACTTTCACTATTCGACTCAACATGAAGTTCATACAGTATAGCACCATAAAGAGATCACAAGAAAACAATTATGCCCCATAGTGTGGTGGAGGAGATGAAACACCTGTACCCTGCACCACTGTCCCCCTGACAGTCTGCCTTTAGAAGCAGCACACCACCTGGTTGGAGAAGGGAAAGGCAACAAAAATAGGAAATAGTACTCACTGGACTAAAATAGATGACACAATAGAGCGGCTGATGAAAAGACCAAATGGAGCCTGCTGAGCTATTAGAACTTTGCCATTGTTGGCTATTCTATAGAAAGAAATACAGTGTGGTTCTGCTCCCAGGAGGTTAAATTTTCTCCTGGCATTTTTACCAACCAATGGGGGCATACAACACCAGTTATGTGTTTATGAAAGACAGACTTGCACCACTAAAATCCTTCATTAAAAAGTCTCAGTTTGTAGTAAAGAAAATCAAACAGTAGACCTCTCACATTTCTCTGAATGTTTTTTTTTATACACCTGTTGATTTCTGTATGAACTACAGTATGACACCAGAAAAGACAAACTATTTCCAATACTGCATACTGATTAGCTTTTGAATGATCTAACTGCTCTCACCTTCGTCTGGATCATTCCGGGCTGATGCTTCCAGTAGTGCCACATTAGCAGCAAATGACACGTGCCTCTTGGACTCCTGCTGGTTGTTATTGATGCAGCGGCCCTTCCTGTCAGCCTTCTTCTTCTTGTTCTGCATCTCCTTCTCGTACACCGCCCATCGCTTCAGCTGCTGAGTCCTCCTCTTCTGAGCAGCCCTGAGCCTCTCCAGACTGGGCACCTTGTCCAGCTGCTGAAGTTCCTGGATCAGCTCCAGATGGTTGGCCATGTGGGGGGTCGGGGTGTGGATGTCCCAGAGCAGTGAAGGGTGAGGGAGGTGGGGTCTTGAGTGAGATGCAGTCTAGCAAGGGCTGCACTTTAGGTAGCAGCCTCCTCCCTGCATCCTTATTGTCATGGTTTCAGCAGCGGCACGTTTCCTGAAAAAGCACAAAAGAAAATTTAGCTTGAAAATATGTTGCCATTTTTCATTTAAACCGAAATCACATCAGAATCCAGCACTACATAAACCGCTCAGTTGATTAATTAGATGATAGTCTTAGTCGGCCAATTTTTTACTAGTTGACTAACTATTTTTTTAGAATTAAAAAGGATTTATATTGGCCCTAGCAGAAAGGAAAATGCATGAAGCGAGAGATTGCTGAAGTTTTTGGGGGAACTGGGCTGTTTATTCTGCCATTTCACTTATGACGATACTATTTACTGCTACTTCCCATGTGTACATAGTAGTTTTTGCCTGAGATCCTAATCATTTTGAGAGCTTCAGTCAGTGCCAAAACACGTCCCCTTTAAGTAATTAATCACTGTCCAGGGCATGTCTTTAGTTAAGTATTTCTTATAAGGTCTATATTACGCAAAATTGACTCCTGTGAGCTTTAAGCCATCTTATAATGTTGTTACTTCATCAAAACATAAACTGGAGTTGAGTTGTGTTTTGTTTCATTTATACATGTTTGAGTAACCCTTTATTCTTCTGTAGTCTGTCTATATAGTCTGTCTATATCTCCAAAACTCAACATGCTCTGTTTCACCTTGTGATGTCATGAAGTCGCATTTTTTTAGTTAACAGCTGCTTTTACCTTTAGTTCAGTGAAAATTGGATAATTTCAGCCCTGGAATTGCCAAATGATTATAGTAAAGTTTAAAAACACACAGTACAGTATTTCCTGTACTGCCTCATGACATCACAATGTGGGGAACAGCGTTTTCTGTTTGAGAGAAGAACTCTGTCTAAATATGCAGGTGTTTTTTGTGTTAAACATGTGTGAATCAAACACAACACAAAACAGGACTCCAGGTATGTTTTTGATGAGGTAACAACATTATAACAGATCAGAAAATTGTGTAAAATGGGTCTTCTAAGTCGACTACAGCCCTAGTTATATTATCCACAGAATATAATTTCTTTTTTAAAACTGTGATATAACTTTTAGTTTAAACTATACTTATTAGAGAAGTTTAGAAAGCTGACAGCTCTTTTGTGGCCCCTAAATTTCAAGTGCATGTCCAGTCCACTTTTGTATTTCTCAGCATCTTGCCGCAGCAGTAAACTCCCTGAGAGGAGACAGGCCGAGGCTGACCCGGTGTTCATAAAAATGTTACTGCCAGAAACTTCGATAAACACTTCAGTCAATAAATGTGGAAGTCGTTGGGTGCAGTTTCTCGTAAATCTCTGATCAGATACATTTACTCTAGGAGAATACTGACATTTAGAAGACAGAAACAGTGGTCCAAAATGCACTGCAGCAGAACACAAATTTAAGTAATGCTAAGTCTTTTACCACTTACCCCAAAATTCATATAAATTTGTGGCTAACCAGAAATCTCATCAGAACCATGCACTGTTGGTTCAAATTATAGATGGTCATGGATATGAAAGATCTTGCTTTTTTAAATCCCCCTAGGGTTTCCTTAGTTGCAAAGACATCAAATCCAATGCTGGCTTCACAAAACAGCAGAAAAAGAAGTATATCTAAAACTATCAAGATTAAAGGTCCTGTATTACGCAAAGTTGACGCTTTTACTGTTATAATGCTGTTACCTCAAAAACATACTTGGAGTTGTGTTTTGTTTCATTTACATGTTTGCCTAATGATACATTATTAGTCTGTCTACATCTTCAAAGCTCAAAATGCTCTGTTCCACCTTGTGATGTCATGAAGCAGAGAAGATAAGCTATTCTAGGGCTGAAATTATCCAAATGATTCTAGTGAAGGTGTGTGAAGTTTTAAAACACAGTGGAGCACTTCCTGTATTACCACATGACTAGGGCTGGGTATCATTGAGAAGCTGACGATACAATACATACCGTGATACATAGGCTACAACGTGAAACATATCTCAATACAGTGCACTTTCAGTTCGATACGATATATTTCAAATCGATTCGATACAGTTCAGTAAAGAATAATGGCTAAATCATGGCTGTGATACGAAAAGTCTTTGTTAAGCCACTTCTTGTGCAAAGTTAATATGAAACACAAACGTTGTAATCATCAAAAAAGTGAAAATGTCAATTAATATGTTGTATAAACAAGTTTCCTTCCTTTAACAAGCAACAAAACTGTACCGCTGTAACAAAATAATTTAGTAAAATATACCAAAAAATACATCATTGATACAGCATTCCCTGACATTGATGCTGTCTCATCACATTAAACAATACAATATATTGATATTTTGATATTTTTGCACATTCCTACACATGACATCACAAGGTGGAATAGCATTTGCCTAAATATGCAGGATCTGAATGTTGCATGTGTGGATGATACAAAACACAGCTCCAGGTACATTTTTGATGAGGAAACGACATTATAACACAGATCAGAGACTAGCATAATATGGGGTCTTTAAACTAAATTTTCAAACTCTTAAGAACATCTGTGTTATACTTTTTTATTCTCTTTGAGCTGCCAAAGCTAGTATATTAAATCTGGTAGGTTCACTTCAAGGTTTGCAGCAATGAAAACAATCATTTTCTTCCATAACAGTGCCACTTTTCCCATTAATATGATGCATTTCCCTCAAAAACGTACTTTTAAGATATCAGAGGGACAAAATGTACCTACTACTCAAAACTGACAGTTATCCAGTTTCACATAAATGGCCGAGTAAGTGTCTGTGTGTCATTTTTCCATTTGCTTTGTGAGATGTTATTGTACCATCTTCCATCATGGTTAACCGCTTCCTGAGTGCTCGGTAGACAGCAGTGAGAAGAGCCACTGAGATACGACTGAAATAATCTCGTGGGGCATTGAGCTGAAGAGGGGTCTTTTAACTGTTGCTCAATAATATAGAGGGCTGTAAATAAAACGGGGGCATATTGAACACTTTGGTCAGCAATTACGGTGACGTTTTATGGCACCATGGCGACTGTTGTATTGCAAATAAATATGGAGTGTGAAGTTACAACATATATCGACAGTGTGTTTCTATTTGCACATAAACTACCCACTGCATACCTTATACAATCTTGATTTCTGTTGCCTATGGCTTTATACTGCCTTTAAAGGGTCCATATTACGCCATTTTCTGATCTATGTTATAATGTTGTGTCCTCATCAAAAACATACCTGGAGTTGTGTTTCGTTTCATTCACACATGTTTCACAACCACAAACCCTGCATATTTAAACTGAGTTCTTCTCTCAAACAGAAAACACTCCATACCCCTTCACCAGAATCATTTGGATATTTCAACCCTGAAATTTTCAATCTCTACTGAATAAAAGATAAAAGGTTGCTCTTAACTTAAAAACTACCACTTACTGGCATCACAAAGTGGAACTTGTGCTTTAGAGATGTAGCCAGAGTAATAAACCAGGATTACTCAAACATGTGTGAATGCAATAAAACACAACTCCAGGTATGTTTTTGATGAGGTAACACCATTATATGGCTTAAAGTTCACATGAGTCAATTTAGTGTAATATAGGACCTTTAAGAGATAACTAAAACTGCTTCTTCTGAGTGTTCATACATTACCATGATTGGTCAGATTCACTTGTCACTCTGATTTCATATTGGTCCTCTGAGACTTTTGCTACTAAAAAGCTAAACAAGCCTCATGACACCCTCAAATGGGGGGGGGGCTATTGCTCAGTTTGGAAATACCGCCAAACTATCACAACTCGCCCACTGCTAAACCCACGGACATCGGTCTTATCTGTGCTTCTTATATGCTCTATTCACGCTTACCTGAACACTTTTGGAAACATTCGAATTACGACTTCTGGTGTACTTACTCGGGCATGTATGATAAAACCATGGAATCAGCACCAGCGATCTTCATAATCTGCATACCTGCACCCTTCATAAACCTTTCCATGGGGGATGTGACTCTAATGGCATCTTCGATGTCACTTACAGGCAGCTGGTTGTAACTATTGATCTGCGATCAAGCACAACAATGCTACAATGACATCTTTTTTTATTATTATTATTAAGTTTGACAAATTATAATACACAAATTAATAAGCAATTTATAAAAGGAAAAAAGAAAGAATAGAATGACATCTAGATGAAGAAAAACAGATTTTGTCAGAGTTACTACAGCCAACAGAGCCCAAAAGAAGTCATCCTCCGCAGATTTACAAATGTCTTCCGGTTTTGTGATGTAAACATGAATAGAACTTATCGACTGAGCCAGTGAGTCAGTTTAACTCTAAAATGAAAACTGCCCATAATTATCACTGTATAAAAACTATTGTATTGTATTGTATTGTAGCAGCTGAAACCTTAACCACACTGTCCTTACAACTCCGAATATCTGTTGTATTAAAATGTCATACTAACTTCACAGGTTATTTTAGTCTGTGGTCCAAATACTCACTTCTCATGCTTTAGTTTCCATCAGCTTTACACCTACACCTCACAAAACACAGACAGGAAGCAGCAGTCTCTTCCTGAAGCAGCACTTTTGGTTTAACAGCCACAGAAGCGTGTACAAATCTTTAACACTTGAACGTGCCTAACCTTTTAAGTGTGACACACTTCTCCAGACTATGATAACTCACCACGCCCAATCGGGTTAGAAATGATTTGTCCGGGGGCTGGCTCCAACTTTTCAATTGTTCACATAAGCTTTAGGGTCGCAAATTGTCCTACACTGATTTCAAAGTTGTCAGCAGTTTCCGTGCCCCACTTGCTCACAGCAGATATATAAAGAGCTCAGAGTAGTACTGCAAGTAAATTGTACAGTGAAGTTTGTTCTGCAACGTAATCTGTAAGAAGAGGGGGACGACATAAGAGCACAGGGAGAAGTCACTGGCTTAATGTTAGAGATAAAAAGCAGCAGTGTTTTGGGCTAAGAGAACACGTGAAGGCGACCCCTCGGTAACACAAAGACAGGTCATGATTAATAACTAGTAGTAAATGACAAATTATAAAAAGGAACCACGCGCACAGTTTTCTAATGT